GCACAGAACACATGCCTTGCACTTCTTGATCGAATCCCATACATCCCGCTTGAAAGTGGTCTCCCCCAGAGGCCCTACAATGGCCGCTAAATCGATGCTGACGGATACCAGTTTCCGACCACGCGTACCGTTTGCTTTCGGCTCCAGTCTCATGATTTCTTCGTTCATCTTTGATCCGACGACAATCGTGGTCAATGACTTGACCTCTGCGTGACGATTTAAGACATTCTCGATGAGTTTTTGCCCAAAACGGCGTGGCCTACGCGGCCAAAAATAGAGCTGACACAGGCGAGCAAACCAATCCGCATCTTCGTAGCCGGTGGTTAGAGCCTCCGAGGTGTCGGCTTCCATTCCACTCTCCATTTCAACCTGGATAGACGCTTTGAGCTGAGCACACGCTGAGCCTTGGCTAAACGCATTGATTTAGCAAGTCTGAGGAGGAGCTTTTATAGTCGATATTCTGTATTTGGATTTGGAATTATTCCACGCTATAAACCACACGCATACTTTTTCCGCTCTCGAACCTTGAAAAATATACTTCAGGTAAGTCAACCCTCCCTTGCAATCCTTTTTAATGATACTATGTCCAGACTCAATGAATTTAAATGTCTATTGCTTGCCTACGCTTCTCCATAAACAACGACGAGCAACGCATGATTTGCATTCAGCCGTGAGGGCGCGAAGCGCCCCCACGGCTAGTTATATATAAAATCGAGTGTATGTCTGTCTGTACGTATCGCGATTACTCCCGAACGAAACATCGGAATGCGACGATTTTCCGGCACTGAGGTCAGGACGTGCTAGGGATGGTTATAGGCCTGTCAAATTTCACGAGGGTTCAATCGTCAGGCCCTTTCTCTTTCGTTTCTATACTTCTTTGTCGTTGTTGTCCGAATAATTATTCAACCCCGGGTGATAACGAAGGTCGCCTTCTCTGGATCGACTCGATAACTTGAAGGCAAACGTATGGTAGCGTTCCGAATGCACTATTTTTGGTTCATGCCCTGAGAGTCGACACTCGAAATTATCCGTTGATGATCGTTAGGCATAGCGCGTGGCCCCCAAGCGGAGTTCTCTGGGACGTTTCACGCGTCAAGTAAGGAAGCGAAAAGCATCACTCGCACTTGAGACCGAGGATCGGAGGGACGAGAGGCTCGCACGGGAGAGAGCACGACAGGAATTAGCGCGTTCGAATGAAACAGAGGATCAGAGAACCTCGCGGCTACCCCGATTTCATGGGAATAGTCGTCAGAGGAAGAGTAGATTGAAGGGAGATCGATTGCGAACAGCTCGAAGCGAAGTCCGATGAACGAAGATCGGCACTATCACTGAAGGACAGGTTAAGGTGTGCTCAATCCAGGCGCGCCCCTCACGTGGATCTGAAACTTGCGGCTTTTGAGTATGATCCGGTGTATGATTATAGCAACCACCCCAGCGTGAGTATCGGTATAATGACTAAGGTCTGTCAATTCTGTCGGGCATTCAAATTTAGGAACGAGAGTCCTGGAATGTGTTGTGCGGGGGGGAAAGGCTGTATTGCCCGAGGTGCATTCACCGCCGGAACCTTGAGTATCGTTAATACTCGGCCAGACGAGTCAGGCGAATCTTTTTCTTAGAATTAGAAGTATTCGTGAGTGCAACTCATGTTTTCAAATGACATCTTTCGGCGCCACAGAGATTATGCGAGACAATTTCATGCCTACCTTCAAAGTCTCAGGACAAATCTACCATCGGGTTGGATCGCTTCTACCATTGCCGGAGGCGGATCATCAATTCCTCCAAATCTATTTCATGGGGAATTTTGATGAGCAAGTTGACCAGCGGTGTCGACTTCATTCAGGTGTCAACAGAGATATCGTTGCTGCTTTGCAAGCCTTCTTGCACCAACACAACGAGTCGGTTCGGTTGTTCACGACTGCTTCGGAGCGTATGCCCGAAGACGATTACGTGGTTGTTATCAGAGTTGACAAAACACCTTCTGGAGAAAACAAGCATCGCTTCAACGCGCCCTATATGAATGAGGTGGCAATCGTGATAGTCGGAGAAGAATTCAATTCGATAGACATCATTCTCCATCGTAGAAACGGCGATCTCCAGAGAGTGGCTGAAACTCATCGGTCTTACGACGCATTACAATACCCACTGATTTTTTGGAACGGAGACGATGGTTACCATTTCAGTATTGGAATGAGGAATGCGCGAACGGGCCAAGAGATGGACAAAAAGGTCAGCTCGATGCATTACTATTCTTATCGTCTGATGATCCGAGAGAACCGTGATAATCATATACTGAGATGCCGAGAATTATTCCATCAGTATGTAGTTGACATGTATGCGAAAATCGAGAGTGAACGTCTTCTGTTCATCCAACTGAATCAGACCAAATTGCGATCGGAAGAATACATTCATTTACGAGATGCGATAGCCACAGACGGGAATGTGAATCCGAATCATGTGGGAAACTCTGTTATCGTCCCGGCAACTTTCACTGGAAGTCCACGCCATATGCATGAGTATGCTCAAGATGCGATGACAGATGTTCGGGTCTACGGCCGTCCGGATCTATTCATCACCATCACATGCAACCCGGCTTGGGATGAAATTAAAGAGAATTTCCTGGTCACGCGGCTTCGCACCGTCATGACATCATCGCGCGAGTTTTCAAGCGAAAACTGTAAGAAATGATGGACTTCATTGTCAAGCACAATGTTTTCGGAGAGCCGCGGTGATGGATGTACTCCATCGAATGGCAAAAGAGAGGATTACCGCATGCGCATGTTTTGGTTTGGTTGATCCGCAAGATAACCCCAGACAATATAGATGCTGTCATCTCAGCGAAAACACCAGATAAAGGTTTAGATCCAGGATTATTCGAGGTTGTCACCAAAAACATGATCCATGGTCCTTGCGGCGCGATCAAGAACAAATCCCCGTGTTTGAAAGACGGAATTTGTACGAAGAGATACCCCCGGAATCTTCATGCAGAGACAATAATGATGGATATCCTCAGTATCGACGACGATCAATCGAAGACGGAGGGAGAACAACAACGTACACTTACGGGAAAGCCGCTCACTTCCCAAACATCGCCGATCTAACTCTGCGCCGGATGCCCTGCGGGAGGGAAAAACATCTGATGAGACGCCACCGAAGCGTCTCTTATTCGGTTTCGGACACTTTGGACGCCTGGGAGTTTCAAGAGCACTTCGATGTTTGCGCATCATTCCGCCATGGCTGAATGAGACGACTCCAACACCATCCCTCATCGTTGAATTCTCTAATCGGCAGAAAGGGTTTCTCTAACTTCGCACCTTGCCCAGCGACCGGAGCTTCTTGGATCTTCCCATTTGTTATCAAAGAACGTTGACTACGACACAAACACCTTTCCGAACCGTAGAACTGACAGCTGTTGCAGACGTTCGGAGCAAGTTAACACCCCTCAAAACACTCTGATAATTTTGATCTCTGTTGGGAATGTCCGCGTCGATGATGGAAAGGATTTTCTAGTGGTGGCAGGATCGCCCATGTGAGACTTGTCGATTGGAACCTTTCCGTCGGGAAGAGTCTTGATTTCGAATGCTCTGAGCCGACCGCTGCACGGTAGGTAGTAGGTACACTGTCGTCGGATTAAGCTCGACTACCTCTCGAACACTAGTCCGCGTCACGGCGGGAATGCGCCGAACACCAGCGCACCGGAAAGGTCTCGAGTCTCGAGGGACGAGCGCAGTGCAGTGTGGAGTATACTCGAAGAACATACCCGATATCGCGATTCTTCTCCGATTCTCCAACTAGACCAATATACGTACAGCATACGTACAAGTGTACAAAATACGCCGTACAAAGCGTACAAGCGAACAATCCGAATTTCATGTCTAATGTCTCGAAGCATCTTGTTTTCGTGAACGAGTGGGCGCTGCGGCTCGGTCTTAAAATGGAGTGAGCCGTCTGCTACGTTCACCCATTTCATCGTGAGCTAGCGTGTCTCCGAAAACTAAGAGAACGCGAGTGAAAAGAATCAAAAACTCGTCCGAGGCTCGAGTGGTTCTTCTCCAGAGGTTCAGCTGGGTACTTCGTACTCGTGTGTAGCAGTAAATTAATGTTTTGCTGACTCGATGAGTCCGAATGAGATTTCCCTATACGGCAGTACTCGAGTTCGAGATTTGGAGAATCACTGTCCGGAGACTGAGAGACCACGAAATCATTCCAGATGGAGATGATACCCCTCGATCATTCAAGAGTGATGGCCCGAAGAGCCAGAATCAACGTCGCAATACGCGAGCATGGTCCATATATCGAGCTTCCGTTAGAGTTGGACGGATCGCTTTTACGTTCAACCTTATACCAAGTATTACCGCACAGCCACGAAGCTGTACCACCGCATTTCCGAACGGGAAATCAGTTGCCTAAGTGCGACAGAGAGCTCTCTGCTCCCACCCCCACAGGGATGGACATCAGAGATTTACTTCTGTGATGATACAACACCGGGTAATTCCATGCAGCCTGTCTAGGTGTATCCCTATTCTCGCCGTAGCGGGCACTGGCGAGATCCGCCAACCCGTCCATATCCCCCCTATATAATAAAACAGTAAGCTCCCGACTCGCCGTAACATTTATCGGTGCTATTCCTGCTCGCTTCCACTCAAAATTACACTGACAAGATGCGGAGCCGCCTGAAGGATTGTAAGATGTAGTTTTCGGAATGTTTGATCATGTTCTTATCCGAGAAAATCACCTTTTTCCACCCCGATCCGAGTTGTGTTGTTCGTCACGGCCCTTTGCACAAACTCTCTCCACCAAGCAGTTCGCCGAGTACCATCCCGCTGCCCAAGGACTAACGACTAACGACTATGCCGTGCTATGCTGTTCTATGAGATTTAGGATGAGATTTGGGACATATACATGAAGCGCTTCACCGCGAGAGGGAGAATGGCAGGCTGACATTCGATCCGGATGAACCTGCTATATCACCTTTACCATTCGAACTATTCTACGAGAGCTATGCTGTTCTATGAGATTTAGGACACATATGTACAAGGAGCGCTTCACCGCGAGAGGGAGAATGGCAGGCTGAAATTCGACTCATTAGTTAGATATCCGAATGAATGAATGAATAAAATGGCCAGCTTGAAGAGTTTCGCTGAGCACACCTTCGTATGCTTTTCTTTCCATTCGTTGTCATTGTTAATCACGAGTTGGCGCTAACTTCTATTTCAACTGCTCGAATTTGACTGCTAATCGAGTTCTGTCCGCTGCGTTTCCGTTTGTTTCATGTCGGAGTGCGCTCCATGATAACGTCGTGAGTTAAGACAAGTTCCCCCTATTTGGCAAAAGTCGGCGTTTCATTCATTCGCTTCATTATTCGGTCGTAAGTTATCAGTTAGTCATTTCTATAAGTTATCATGCCGAAGAAGGCTGTGAGACGCCGTTTTGATCTCAGACGCCATAGGCGTGGAGGAACCCTTGGCGAGACATCGAGGATAGAGAATCGCTCTTCCTACGGTACTCCAGGGCCCAGGGACGGAGAATACAGTAGAACCTCGATTATATCAACTAATTGATGTCAAAAAATGTTGATATAATCGAGAGTTGAAATAATCGAGGTTGATATAACCGAGGGTTGACTTCGAGGGGCTTGATATAATCGAGGTCCCATAGGAACAAACTAACTCATAGTTGGGAGCTGTAAATTCTCTGAATAAGCTCGATTTTGGAAGGAAAGACAATCCTCATGATATCATCCTTGGTTCGTATTTCCCGCAATCATGTCAACTGCTCAGTTCCTCCCATGCACAGACGCTACATCTCGAAGACGGATCAGTCGAAGAAGATCCTCGGCTTCGCACTCTTCCTGACTACGCAACCATCGAATTGCCGTGTCGAAGGCTTCTACCGCCTGCATCGGGGTTGGACGGAGCCCGGAGAGAGTGTCTGAGACCTCTTCATCATCCGAAGTTTCCTCGAAATCTTCCTGCGGGCCTTCTCCCTCACCAAAAGCTGCCAGCACTTGTTCGATGATTTCTTCGTCGTTGAGATTTAGGTTGCCAGTTTCCTCCGAGTCGCAATCCAACCATTCCTCTATGTCAGTCGCGTCGCATTCGGCGAATCTTGGATCTTGTCGCAAGTTCTCCCCGAGAACTGCGATTTCAAACGAATCGTCCATGAAAGCAGGCTCTCCTCCGAAGCCGATTGGCATCAACTTGTTCCAGGCATTCCGCAAGGTTGAGGTTCTCACTGAAGCCCACGCTTGAGACAGCATCAAGCAACAATCTTTGAGATCAATCAGCTTACTGAGGTTCCCTGACGCCGCCGCTGCGTCATTCTCGATAAGACAGAGCATCCTGAACATCAGCTGTTTACGGTATAAACGTTTCAGGGCGACAATGACGCCTTGATCCATCGGTTGAAGGATAGCAGTTACATTCGGCGGCAAGAATGTGACGGTGAATTTTCCGTTCTTGGTCTCCATGGTAGTCAGCGGCGCGTGCGAAGGAGCATTATCCAAAATGAGCAATACGTTTCCTTCTTTGCCTATGATCTTCTGATGTGCTTCGACTGCTGGGGTAAAAGTGTTCTCATACCAGTCAACGAAAATGTCTCGACTCATCCATGATTTTCTTTGCGCTCGATAAACAAGCGGGATGCTCGCTCCTCGAAAACATCTTGGATTTTGAGACCTTCCGATCAATAGAATGGGGATCCTGTGATTGCCTGTGGCATTGGCACATGTCATAACAGTCACCCTATCCTTGCTCGCCTTCCGTCCCGGCGCCGACCGCTCATTGCGCGCTGCTAGCGATCTGCTTGGTAGCGCCCTGTAGTACAGTCCTGTTTCATCACCATTATAGATGAATTCGAGGGTCGAAAGTTCCGATGTTCAGAGCAGCTCTGAATTTGATGACGAATTGACCAGCTGCTTCTGCGTCTGATGACAAACTTTCCCCTTGTACTTCTAGTTCACGGATGCCATGCCTACTCTTGAATTTTTGCAACCAACCGTTGCTAGCTCGGAAATCTCGAGTTCCGCCGAGCTTCGGATAGAGTTCCAGAGCTTTGGCGCAGATGATCGGGCCCGAGAGTGGAAATCCAATGTGACGTTTCTGAAGGAACCACAGAAAGAGAGCCGCATCCAGAAGTTCGTTTTCGGCGGTTTTCATCACTTTCGCATCTTTGGGGCCGAATTGCTCACTTCGAGACTGAACGTACCGTCGGATCTGATCTGCATTCTTCTTGATGTAGCAAATCGTGCTTTTGTCGACTCCGAATTTCTTGGCCAAAGTCGCTTGCAATTCACCCTGATCCAGGCACACTAGGATTTCTTTTTTCTGCTGGAGAGTCAGCACGGTCCTCTTTTTCCTGCCAGATTCCATCGCGATGCCCTGACTCTGAGAACAAGATCTCCCCGATTAACTTCTGTCAGAGCACAACGTTGAGTATGTGGTCTTCCGGCTCGCTTCGACAAGCCAACAGCAAGCTCTCTCCGATGTCGGATGACAAGCAGCGATGTTCTGAGCGGACTAGAAGATCTTCGAAAGATGTGTGATGGCACCTTCTCAGAGTCCGAGCAGAGAATGCCATGTGGCGCCAAGCAGATCTCATGCCAATGAATTGAATTCCGACGATAGGAATTCGCGGTTGATATAATCAAGGTTGATATAATCGAAGGTTGATATGATCGAGGCTTGATATAATCGAGCTTGATGTAATCGAGTTCGGTCCGGAAAATGTTGAAATAATCGAGGTTGATATAATCGAGGTTCTACTGTACTCTTATCGACATTACGAAAATGGAAGATTCCTCTCCTCGCGAAACTCCAGAGACGGAGAATACCCTTTTCGAGATTCCGAATATGGAGGATTTCTCTCACCGCGAAACTCCAGTGATCGAAAATCACGAAGGCATGGACGTTTCTCCAGGTGTCGAGGATGGCTATTCTACTGAGACACTCAGAACAGTGGATCGCATCTCTCGCGAAGTCCCGATAGTAGAGGATCGCATTGACATCGAAGGCGAACGGGAGGTGATTGTCGATCATCTCGCGGAAAGCAATCGACGGATGCCACGGAAATTCGGTATCGCTCGACAGACACACAACCGTCCCTCCAGTCCCCACAGTTTGGGAGGAATGGACGATATTTGCACTGGCTGCGGAGCTGCCCGTTTCGCTGCCGAGAAAACCACTCGCGGACGCACTGCGTATGCCATTCTCACAGCCCAACCCATCGACGCTTCCCACAAATCGCGAAAACTGTGTCCCCGGGACACCGAGACTTTACCGACTCATAAGTCATGAGCCATGAGCCGAGACGACGACTCAATAATCGAAATCGTAAACATGTTCCATCGAAACTCCCCTTCATCAACATTCAATGGGCACGACAAGTTGAGGCCCGCGATTGAGCCCGGAACCCCTGCAGCCTCCAATGACGAACTTTCTCATGAAGCATTCGCGCAACGTGTATATAATGACTACGAGCTCAGTCCTCTCAACATCGCGAATCACGACTCATGAATTCATTCGAATGCAGTTCCACCGGCTCAGATCACCACTAGAGTGGAGACGAGCATTGATTATTATTATTTAGCTGAGCGAGCGCCAAAAATTGCGACGACTCGCGACTCAATCGGGGGCGCTTCCCGCGCATTCCCTCAAATCACATGACGAATTCAAATTTCCAAGTGAGCAACCAACGGAATTTCACTCGCAACGATTAATGCGCAGCACACAACGATTAACTACCGATTCCTGCGACGAATTCGAAACCGCTTTCACTGGCGTACGTTGCAAAAGCCCGATTACGAGGGACTCACGAGTTACGTGGTTCCAGGAAGTAAGTCATATCCACAGACCCATAGACTGGGATTTCCAATCTGTAAAACATATTCATGTCCAAAATAATTTTTACACCTGGATAGAAATACGTTCCTCTTTGGAGTCCGCGGGAAACTTCTCACTACAGCGATGCTCTGATGATCAACAGGCACGATGTCCTAGCTCGAAGCCCACTACGATGGTGAATATCCAATACCACCGTCTTCTGCCAAAGAGACCACTATACCAGATCGAAGATTCATCGAAGCCCCGAAGACGCTGCGACGCCGGACTTTCGCCACTTCCGGGGAACAAAAAGTCCATCTCTAAGATATGAGGCTTGATCAGCCTAGAGTAGTCTCGCGTACTTCGACAGATAGAACAGGCTCCGCAATTTCCAATCAAGCGGGTTACGTGCGAATCGAAAGTTGAACTCTGTGGTCTTCGAATGGCTGGTTGCATAATCGATAGCATCGTCAGATGTTCTCCTTTGAACGGTGACGGTTCGCGTTCCTCGGACTTATGAAAAAGTACAGTTTTCCCGAAGTCGGTCGACAATACCAACGACTTAGCGACCACACCGATTCTGCTCATCAGAGATAGGAATAATCTGCGATAGGACATATGCTTCACATCACGTAAACTATTCATAGTAATCACAGAAGCACTCTGGGCTTCCATGTTCATTTATCGTACAATCATATGCTGACCGATGGGGAGATTTGATTTGATTTATTGGTACACATTTACGAGCGGGGCTGCACAAACGGAACGAAGTAGACTAGCAACAATGTGCGATAACAACGGTATATGGCGATGGAGGCGGGAGGGAAACGGGGGCAGCACTTTTCGTAGGGCTTCGAGGGGCAGCCCTCCGGGGTTTCGCATCAAAACGACAGGGTTCTTCTTGAGGAAAACTCGACGAGGGGCGACGTTGTCCTTTTTTGAAAAAATTCGGAAGTCTCGAGCCATCGCTCCGAGCAGCTTCGCAACACGATCCGCCGCGGCACGGAGTGGAAACTCCCGATTTTTTTAAACAGGACCCCAGTGTATGCATCGCTTCTCTCATTTTCAGGCCCCGCCGGAGCGGGTGAATGTCGCTACAGCCAGCCTATTGTTCGCCGGTTTGGGAGTCGGCTTCGTTTTCGGCCTCCTATTTGGGTACGCATGGTTTACGTAAAAATAATAGCCATCAAAGCAATATATACATATGACCAGTCACGCCCGCTCCGCGTCGCGTGGACGTTCGTTGGGTAGTGCGTACTCGCTCCTGCGAGCGGAGGGAGTCTCAACCGTCGAAGTCGGTGTGTTTGACTGACATTGTTCCGTTACAATATACAGACAATATGCATAGAATCGATGCAGCCACTCAACACAATCGTCTTTCTTTGCAGCAGCGGCCACACCACATAAGCTGGGAAACCCCGGCTCCGCTTAGTCAGGAAAAGGGCATTATCCTCGCGGCAATCAGTGGGTACAATTTTTCCAGAACACGCGTTATATGTACCTGCCTACACCATTAACAGAGACACCCATTCGGGGGACACGAGTCAAGTAGCGCACTGGAATTTCAGGGTCATCGAAAAACTCGTGGCAAGGGGCCGAGCGGAGGCTCCGGGCTCCAAATAGTCCAAAAATTCCATTGGCCTCGCGCATTCGCTGACGCGAATAACTTCGTGAAAACGTGTCGGAGGTGCCAGCTGCGTAAAGCAGACTCAAACAGGTTTGGCTTGCTACAACACATCGAGACCCCACGCGAGATCTTTCACACGATAGGAATAGATCTCTTGAGTTCCAACGCGACGGACCAGGGCAACAGAGTCATCGTGACTGCTGTGTGTCAGCTGACGAAGTTCCTGATCACCAAGGCGCTCCCGAACGGATCGGAGGAGCAAATCGCCCGCTTCCTGGTCAACGACGTTATCCTAAGATACGGGGCACCACGGGTACTGATCAGTGATGGAGGCAGCGTGTTCCTCTCTAAACTGGTAGAAGCCATCAACAAAACTTTCAACACCGAGCACCGGAAGACAACCCCTTATCACTAGGCTTTGCGAAAAACCGCAAAATTAGAAAACCGCGGTTGCGGTCATAGGCATCGGGAAAAACCGCGGTCGCGGTTGTTTCGCGGTTTATAACCGCAAATCAGCGAAACTTCTTTCCGGTTGATTTTTATGGCATTTATCGCAACATATCAAGCTCAGCGGCGAGGAACAACGATAGCTCTAGTCCAAATTCTGCACCATATGATCGGATTCCAGCTCCATACCATATACAATCGTCAATTATGGGGGGTTCCTGTTATGAGTAGCACAATGTCGTCGAATATACAGGGATACTAAGTGAAATCTAGAAGAAAGGCCCGTGGCCCTGGAGCGCGGCGTCGTTCTTCATGTACGTGAACTTCAAAACACGAGCAAGATACAATGCTGCATACGAAATGAGCTTGAAAACAGTCCGCAGCGCTGAATACAACGACAGATATAAAACATCGAATTAAGTTACTGGAGCTTATACTGGAGTTCTTTGCGAATTGTGAAGATATTGTAGTGGGCCGCCCGCGGCGGCCAACGGACTTGATTCATTCCCGGAGAACGACGATGTGTAATGAACATTCGGCTATCCGCCATTGACTCTGCTAGACGTATTCTCAGTGTCGTAGTGGTGATCTGCCACAGTGGTGACCCGGACGTGATATCCCGTGATCAAGATGAGCCAAGAATCATTCCAAGACACGCTGGACGAACCCCCACAGGCAGCCGCAGCCGCCCCGCGCGTCGCCGCGGTCGCACTGAAATTGCCTCCGTTCTGGCCGAGGCAGGCGGTCATGTGGTTTACAACGATTGAAGCCCAATTCAGTCTGAGGAAAATCACAGAGGACCAGACGAAGTTCGAGTACGCCCTGACAGGCCTGGACGCGGAAAATCAAGAACGAGCGGCCGATTTCTTTGCCGATTTGCCGGCTGCAGGCACCCGTTACGCGGAATTCAAGAAGAGAGTCCTGGACTCATTCAGGACGAGTCAACACGAACGTTTCGCGACCCTGGTTGGACTCTCAATAGGAGATGACACCCCGTCGCGGCTTCTCGACCGGATGTTGGGGCTCTACAGGCCAGACCCCAACGCCACAAAGAACTCTTCCGCTTCCACTACCTCCAAAAGTTGCCACCACACGTTCGCGATCAGGTGGTCGCGGCCGACCATCTTGAGCTGAGAGACGTGGCCAAACTCGCGGACAAGGTGTTCGCCCAGCGCCGTGCCATGGTAGCTCTGGCGATTGAAGACCAACAAGAGGTGGACGCCGTTCGGCAACCGGCCCGGGGAAGAGGCCGACAGAAAGGCGGACCGACGACACCGGCAACCCCAACGGGCGAACGGATTTGTCGATTCCACACCAGGTTCGGGGAAAAGTCGAGGAATTGCCTGATGCCGTGTGAGCATTCTTCCCCCATCGATGGCCTCTCATCAACTTCAATACCGATGCAAGCAGCGCGGTCTCGGGACGCCATCAGTATCCTCACCCAACCGAGTAACGAGTTCGAGACACTCCTCCTGAAGTTCCCAGCCGCCCTCACGCCCTGCTTCGACTCTCAAGTAAAACACAATGTGCAGCATCACATTGTCACCAAAGGTCCACCCCGACACGCCAAAGCTCGTCGACTCGCGCCCGACGTATTGCGGGCAGTCAAAGACGAGTTCCGGTCCCTCGAGAAACTTGGAATAATCAGGAAGTCCTGCAGCCCATGGTCCAGCCCGCTACACGTCGTTCCGAAACCCGACGGCAGCAAACGCCCGTGCGGAGACTTCCGACAAGTGAACGACATCACCGAACCCGATCGATACCCACTGCCCCATATCCACGACTTCGCGGGGAATCTCGACGGCTGCAAGCTCTTCTCGAAAAGGTCTCAAAGGTTACCACCAAATTCCCATGGCTCCAGAAGATATTCCCAAGACCGCCATCATCACTCCCTTCGGGCTCTGGGAGTACACCAGGATGCCTTTCGGCTTACGGAACAGCGCCCAGACGTTCCAGCGGCTTATGGATTCCGTCCTCCACGGGCTTCCGTTCACTTTCGTATATTTGGACGACGTGCTGGTGGCCTCGAAGACGAGGAAGGAACATCTCGAACACCTTGAGACCCTCCTAAAGAGACTCCAGGACAACGGGTTGGTGGTCAACGCCGAGAAGTGCCGTTTCGGCCTCGCGGAGATCGATTTTC